CCCTGGGGGGCCCCCACGGCCTCGACGAACAGGCCCAGGTCCTCCATGTTTGGAAAGAAACTGTTTTCGTCCGTTTCAAAAACAAAACCGAAAATCGGGGAATTGTTGCAGTCAAAGCAGCAGCAGTTCGCGTCGCAGCAGCGCAAAGTGTCTTCAGGGCCCCCAGGCCCCTCTGGGGGGCCCCCGGGGGCCCCCAGGGGGGCCCCCAGGGGGGCCCCCGCGGCGCGGGGGGCCCCGGGGGCCCCCGCGGGGGCCCCCGCGGGTTCCGACTCGGCAGAAAGCAAGACCCTTTAGTTGGAAAACAAATTAAAGTTCAAAAAGGAAAACATAAAGGAGTTATTGCAAATGTTCGATCTGTGGATCGAGATGATGTGACGTGAGGGTTTGCGCGAGGGTTTGCAAACCCTTTTTCGTGGTTTTGGATTTTTTGTACTACTGTCTTTTCCATTTTTTGAATTTTCGAATTTTAATTTTTGCTTTTAGACTTTCTGGTGTTTTTCTTTTTTCGCCTTTAAATGTGACTCCCTCTCCTTGTTATTTCTTTTGAGGATTTTTTTATTTATTTAGTCTGTTTATTTTTTCATTTATTTGGTCTTCTTATCGATCTATTTACGTATCTATTTATTTTTTACTTTATTCACTCTATTTACTTTATTTTACTTATTCTTTTAATTCATTTATGTATGTGTTTGTTTGTTTATTTATTTATTTGCTCTTGTTTTATTTAGAATTGTTGCTGTGTCGCTAATTAATCAGCATTTTGGTTTATTTGCTTTTCATTTAAATTGAAAAAAATAAATAAAGAAAATGAAAATAACAGTAAATGAAAATAAAAAATAAAAAATAAAAATTGCAATTAATTAAATATTTCTGTTTTCATTTTAGGGTTTTACTCCAAACCAAATCTGAAGTCGTCAAGATCCCCAAAAGCGATGTCCAAGTCCTGGAAAGCGGCAGAGACTACGCCCGTAAGTGTTTAGGGTTTAGGGTTTAGGGTTTAGGGTTTAGGGCTTGTCCGGCGTCCCAGGCCCGCACCAGTCCTCCTCCCCCTTTCAAAAAGCCCAATTACAAAAACCAAAATAACAAAATTAACTAATTAATTAATTAATTAGTTAATTAATTAATTATCTATTTATTTATTTATTTATTTATATATGTATTTATTTGCTGCTGCTGCAGGCGCTGTGGGGGCCCTGGGGGACTGTTGGGGGGAGCCTATGCGGGGGCCCCCCTGGGGGCCTTTTGAAAAAGGGGACAAAAAAGGGGACAGTTTTCAAACCCTAACTCCACTGTCAAGTGCCATTAACTCTTTGCCTCCTTTGTCTCAACAAAGCCAGCCCGAAACCCCAAACCCCGTTGTCGACGCCCTCATTGACGAAGACGCCGTGTCAGGGTTTAGGGTTTAGGGTTTAGGGTTTAGGGTTTGGGGGCTGGGGGTTGGGGAGGGGGCCGGAGTTCAGGCGAGAGCGACAGCGCCAGGGCTTCCAGAGGAACCCTAGAAGCAGCTCCGAGGGTTTAAGTCCAGGGTTTAGGGTTTAGGGTTTAGGGTTTAGGGTTTAGGGTTTGCGGCGCAGGTCTTTGAGCGACTTATCGGTGTCCTTAGGAAGCAGCTCCATGTCCATCTCCGGGGCCTACAGCAGCAGAGAGAGGGGTTTAGGGTCTGTGGCTTCTGCTGCAGCAGGCAGCAGCAGCAGCAGCATGAGGCTTTCGAGCGCAACAGCAGCAGCAGCAGCAGCAGCAGAAAGACACGAGCTGCCCTCCTGGTGCCTCAAAGGCGTTCTTGTAAGGGTCATTCGAGGCCCTCACTACCCGAAACAGGTAAACTGCAGCAGCAGCAGCAGCAGCAGCAGCAGCAGCAGCAAAAACGGCAGCAGCGGCAGCAATAGCAGCAGCAGCAGCAGCAGGCCCCTGCTTTTGCGGCCGACCTTTCGTTGGTTCGCTGTGCGTTGGGGCTCAGCTGCAGCTCCTGGAGCTCTAGGGTTTAGGGTTTAGGGTTTACCAGGGCGTTCTACTGGCTCCTGGGGTTCGCAGGGTTTGCTAGGGTTTAGGGTTTAGGGTCTAGGGCTAAGGGTTTGGCTGCAGGGTGTTCTGGTATCGGCCCGCTAGCGAGCGGGCTCGTTTGCTAGAGCTTGCAAGGGCCAAGGACCTAGGGTCTAGCCTTTAGGGTTTAGGGTTTAGGGTTTAGGGTTTAGGGTTTAGGGTTTAGGGTTTAGCGTTTGGTTGCAGGGGTTTTGGTATCGGCGGCCAGCGGGCGGGCTCGTTTGCTAGAGCTTGCAAGTCCCAAGGACTTAGGTCCTAGCCTCTAGCCTGTAGGGCCTAGAGTTTAGGGCTTAGGGTTTAGGTTTTAGGGTTTAGGGTTTAGGGTTTGGCTGCAGGGGGTTTTGGTATCGGCGGACAGCGAGCGGGCTCGAGCTGTGATATCTTGTGGCGGAAATTTTTACACGACAGAAATAAAAGAAATAGAGCCTTTAGAAGTTACTCGGGAAAAGCAAACGGTATTTGGCAATCTTTTGTTTTTTAAACCCTTCTAAGCCCTCGTAAACCCTTCTAAACCCTCGCAAACCCTTCTAAACCCTCGCAAACCCTTCCGAATCCTTCTGAACCCTTCGGAGGTTTTTTGAGTTCTTTGAAGCGCGTTTAAACTCTTCGAAAACCCTCTAAACCCTTTTAAACCCTCCTAAACCCTTTTTTAACCCTCCTAAACCCTCTTAAACCCTCCTAAACCCTTCCAAACCCTTTAAACTCCTTTAAGCCCCTTTAAACCCTTTAAAATCCGTGTAAACCCTTTTAAAACATTCTAAACTCTTCTAAACCCTCGTAAACCCTTCTAAACCCTTGAAAACCCTTCTAAACCCCTTTAAACCCTTATAAACCCTTTCAAACCCTTTTAAGTCCTTTAGTTCATTTCTGATCTTTTTCGTTTCTTTTCTTTTTATCTCCTTTTGTTTCTTTTATCTTTTTTATTTCTTTCATTTTTTTTTATCACCTTTATTTGCCTTTATTTCCTTTTTATTTTCTCTTATTTTTTATTTCTTTTAATTTTCTTTTTATTTTCTTGTATCTCTATCCCTTTAGCCTGCTTTCTCTTCTGCTGCACCCCCCAAACCCCAAACCCTAAACCCTAAACCCTAGCGAGGCGCGGGCGTTTTGGGGCTGCATGCGCTGGGGTGTCTGTACAGGCGGTGGTGACGAGGCTGGAAAGCGCTTTTTATTCTTCTTTTGTTTTTGTCACTTCTTTAAATTTAGAAAATTCATTTTGTTCTTTTTTGCTGGATGGAAGAGAGTTTTCGTGCAACTCTCGAGACCTCAAACAGGCCCAAAAGATTTAAACCCTTTTATCTTTTATTTTCAGTTTTTGTTTTCCTCTTCAACTTTTATTCAATTTTTAATTTTTTCTTTTTTAACTTTTGTTCTGTTTTCTTTTCTTTCAACGTTTATTCAATTTCTAGTTTATTCTTTCTTCTTCAACTTTTATTCAATTTTTTTTTCCTTTTTCCTCAACTTTTATCCAATTTTTGTTTTCTTTTTCCAACTTTTATTCGATTTTCGTTTTTGCTTTTGCAACTTATTTATTATTTGGTGCTTTTCTTTTATTTCCAAAAAGACCCTTTTTGCCAATTATGAAACTTTTTCCTTTATCGCATTTCCAAAAACAAAAAAAGAAGAAATATTTTATTTGTTGAATGCATGCAAAAGCAAAAATGAACTTTTGGGACTTTTCCCCGGTGCTCTCTTCATTTGTTTTCGTTTCTTCTTTTTCCCTTCTTTTTATTTATCCCTATTCCTTTATTTCTTTATCTTTTTTCTTTTTATTTATTTTGTTTTTCATTTATTTTTTAGTGTTTCATTTTTCATTTAAAAACTTCAAAAGTTTTGCCTAGCATTCGAGGTGTACGTACACCCCGCCGACGCATGCAGACCAGCGAGTGTAAAAGTGCGAAAAGAAGAAAAGTGGAATTAAGAATTAAAATAAATAATTCAAATCAAAAGATTATTAAAAGTTCGACCAAATGGAATTTCTAAACGCTTTTTTAGAATGCAATTGCAGCAGCTAAAGGACCATTTCAGCATTTGCAAATTAAATTATATTTCAACTTTGCATTTATGAAATATACTTTTATTTCAAATTGGAGTTTATAAAATATAATTTTACTTCAAATTTGTATTTTTAAATAATAATTATATTTCGAATTGTTTTATTTTTAAACCCAACAAATTCTCGAGCTGCTGCTTCAAAGTCGGGCCACTTGAGCTGTACGTACACCACGAGGCTCTTCTGCTGCTGCTGCTGTAGGGCTGCTGCTGCGCTGCTGCTGCTGCTGTGCTGCTGCTGCTGCGGATTAGACAGATGGTTGCAGCTAGCTGCAGCTACGGAGCCGCAGCTAGCTGCCCACTGCCTGGCTACGTAGGCGCAACTGGGCGGCTAGCTAGCTAGCTAGCTAGCCGGCTGGCCATTGCTACCTAGCTGACTAGCCATGGCTACCTAGCTAGCTAGCCATAGCTATCTAGCTAGCTAGCCATAGCTAGCTAGCATAGCTAGCTAGCCACGAAGCCATGGCTAGCTAGCCACAACCGCCTAGCCATAGCTGGCTAGCCACAACTAGCTGGCCGTAGCTAGCTGGCTAGCCAGCTAGTTGGCTGGCTGGCTAGCCATAGCTAGCTGGCCAGCTAGGGCTCTTTTCTTACCTCCTCAGCTACTGGATGGGGATAAATGTTTCACTTCTTTTTTTGTTGCTTTTTGAATTATTTAATTTTCGTGGCCGACATATGAGCAAGTAATAGTTGAAAAGCAAACAAATAAATAAATGATTAACTGAATAAACATAGATGTATAGTTGAAAGGCAAACAAATAAATAAATATTTAAATGAATAAACCTAAATGGCCCAGTAAATCGGCAGCTGCCGTTTTAAATTTGGAGTGTACGTACACCTCAGAGCCCTGGAGGCTGTGAAGACCTGTTGTGTTCCTTCGCCCATTTCGGTGTTTTTCTTTCGATTAATTCGAATAAAAAGCAAAATAAAATAATTAAATTGATTAAATTAGTTAATTTAATTAATTGAAGCCTTTTAATTCAAAAGAGGAATTTTTTTCGCGTGGTCTCAGCAGCAGGCTGAGGCAGCAGTGCAGCAGCAGCAGCAGCAGCAGAGGGGCCCCCGGGGGGCCCCTCTGCTGCTGCTGCTGCTGGTGCTGCTGCGCTTTGTAGTTAGTTTTATGTTTTATTTTCCCTTTCCTTATTTGTTTATTTTTCAGAAGTAAAAGAAGTCAAATAGAGCTGACCCGTGTCAGGGTTTGGCCTGGCTTGGGGTGTATGTACACCAGCTGCCTATATACCCGAAACCCGCCACCCAGTGAACCCCACAAAGGCCCTGCAGCAATGAAGCGCGCCCTTCCGTGGCTGCTGCTGCTGCTGCTTGCTGCAGCAGCAGCAACGGCTGCTGCTGCTGCTGCTGCAGCCAGCCAACAAGGTGTACAGACACCTAAGCCACAGAGCTGCCCCGCCTTCGCGTGGCTGCAGCAGGAACTTTCTTACCTCCAAGGGCCCCTTTCTGCTGCTGTGGACGAGCCAGCAGCAGCAGCAGCAGCAGCAGCAGACACAGCAACAGCAGCAGCAGACACAAAAGCAGCAGCAGCAGACACAGCAGCAGCAGCAGACCCCAACGCATCTGGCGCCTATGTGGAGCTCACAGAAGAGGCCCTCAATTTGGCCCTCGAGAAGCGGCCGTAAGACAAACCCTAAACCCTAAACCCTAAACCCTAATTAGGAGTAGCTCCTGTGCCCGTTCTAGAAGGCGTGAGAGCCTGGAAATTAAACAGCTAATCCCGCTCTATTTAATAACAATTAAAATAAATGAAAAAACAAACAAATAAATAAATAGTTTTAATTTAATTTATTTTTGTTCTTCAACTTTTAATTTTCAGGACTGCGTTGGTGCTGCTGGGCGATTCGAGGTGTACAGACACCTCAGATGTCTTCGCCACTTTCTTCGGAGTTGCTCGAGCCTTCTCTCGGCTGTCTCAGCTGCAGCCGAGGGTTTTATTTGCCAAAGTCCCCAAACCCTAAACCCTAAACCCTAAACCCTAAACCCTTGGTCTGCGTCCCAGACTCCACATCTGCTGGCCGAGCGCAAACCCTAAACCCTTCACACTTCACTCAGCAGCTGCGCCAAACCTGGGGACCGACTCCTGGGTCTGCACTCTAGGGTTTAGGGTTTAGGGTTTAGGGTTTGCGCAGGTCTTGCGGAAAGCAGAAGGGTCTGGCCAAAGGCGGGGGATGCGCTACGGGGACAAAAACTCCTGTGAGATGTATCTGAGATATGAGCAGCACTTGCCAGCAGCAGCAGCAGCAACAGCAGGGGAGCCAGCAGCAGCAGCAGCAGCAGGGGAGCCTGCAGCAGCAGCAGCAGCAGGGGAGCCAGCAGCAGCAGCAGCGACGGAGCAGCCAGAAGGAGAATACATGACGCTTTTTCTCCCTGAAAACTCAACAGAGGAAGAAATCAAACTCCAAATCATCAAGTAAACCCTAAACCCTAAACCCTAAACCCTCGATTTAGGCCTATACTTCAGGGGCCACCTCTAGAGACAGCACACGCCTTTTGCCTACGCCTTGTGTATCCCCTGGAACACTGTTTTGGGTTTAGGGTTTGGGAAAGAGAACGCAGACTCAAGGGTTAGGGTTCAGGGTTTAGGGTTTAGGGTTTAGGGTTTAGGGTTTAGGATTTGGAGTTTATGTCCCTTCAGGCTTGCGTATCCCACCTCTCTGCGGGCCCCGAACAAAACCTTTTTGGATGAATTCCTTTTCGAGTTTCCCCAGATGCTAATTCGCTTTTTCGAAAAACGTAGGATTTAGGGTGTAGGGTTTAGGGTTTAAATCAGGGTCTAGGCTTCAGAGTTTAGGGTTTAGGGTTGAGGGTTTAGGGTTTAGGGTTTTGCTTTCTCCAGCCGCGGCGGAGCTGTGCGCTGGAAGATGGGTTGTTTCTCTTGCAATGGCGTTTAGAGTTTAGTGCTTAAGGTTTAGGATTTAGGGTTTAGGATTTAGGGTTTAGGGTTTAGGGTTTAGGGTTTGCGTGCTGCAGCTGCTGACATAACCCCTGTGCCTTCGGCGGTTTCTGTGGCTTCGACTCGGCTGCCAATTGTAGACGTTTATGACCCGGCTTTGGCTGCGGCCTTCAACGTAAACCCTAAACCCTAAACCCTAAACCCTAAGCCCTTGCTGCTGTTTCTGCGGCGAGCGCTCGCAGGCTGCACAGAGGTTTATGGACCCAAGGGTCGACGCCTGCAGACGGCGGCGCCCAAGGGTTTGAGTGGAGGGTTTAGGGTTTAGGGTTTAGGGTTTAGGGTTTAGGGTTTGTGCAGGTGGAGCCTCCCCGCCAGCTGCTGCTGAAGCCCAAGGGTTTTCGCAAAGAATTTACTCTTAGTGAAGACAGAGAAGAGCAAGTGAGTCTTTTGCCTCTTTTCCCCACTTCTAGGGTTTAGGGTTTAGGGTTTGTGGTTTAGGGTTTAGGGTTTAGGGTTTTTTCTGTGCTCTTTGCTTTTCCCGGTTATATATTTTGATCTGGTCGAATGTCTTCGCTATGTTTGGTGTTCAGGGTTTAGGGTTTAGTGTTTAGAGTTTAAGAGTTTAAGGTTTAGGGTTTGGTGTTTAGGGTTTGGGGTTTAGGGACACGAACACTTTCCTTCTCGTTACCAGCGCCATTGCCGCGTCTTCACAGCTCTTCGTTTGATTCATGAGGGTTTAGGGTTTAGGGTTTAGGGTTTAGGGTTTGGGACTGCGTTTCAGCGGCGTTTGATCGAAGCCCTGGAAGAAGAGACGCCCGCCGTTGTCAGCTTGACCAGCCTTACGGCTGCCTCGGTGAGCAGCTAGGGTTTAGGGTTAGGGTTTAGGGTTTAGGGTTTAGGGTTTGAGGTTCAGGGTTTGGGGTTTGGGGTTCAGGGTTTGAAGTCGAGCTATTCTGGGATGCCGTAGCCTGGGCACCGCAAAATGTGGTTTGTGTGTTGGAGGGGTCTAGCTTCAAACGTGAAGTCCCTAGGGTTTAGGGTTTAGGGTTTAGGGTTTAGGGTTTGATTGCGCAGATTTTCACTGAACTGCGTCCTGTCGTGTTTCTCTTTGGCGGCTCTGAGCCAGCGATTTCTGAGGACTTTGCGGTTCGTCATTCGGGTTTAGGGTTTAGGGTTTAGGGTTTAGGGTTTCGAGCTTTGGGTTTTCAAGGGTTTAGGGTTTTTGCACAAAAATTGCAGTGTACCTACACCTGAGACCAACGACACGCTGTATGTACACCCCACACAACTAATAAGAAAATAAAAGTAATTTTTTGTTCATTTCAATATTTGATTTTAGTGTTCTATTATATTCATCTGCCTCCTCTTCCCCCGCGCCTAGGGTTTAGGGTTTAGGGTTTAGGGTTTAGGGTTTAGGGTTTAGGGTTTGCGGTGCAGTTCGCAGAGGCTGCTGCTGCTTTCGACAAATCAGTTTTGTTCTGCTCGGCTGTCATTCCTTCTTCTTTGCAACTGCGCGCAATGAGCTACTTGGGAATTGAAGAAACTGCAAAACCCCAGGTTAGGGTTTAGGGTTTAGGGTTTAGGGTTTAGGGTTTAGGTATCGTTTTGTGCCGCTGCTCGCGCCTCCCAACACCGCGTTTTAAACACCTAACAAGCCAATGAACTAGCCTCAATTTTTATCAGTTATTTATTTATTTTTATTTATTTATTTATTTATTCATTTGTTTATTATTTATTTATTTATTTACTTAGGTTATAATTGTTCGCGCCATAGATGACCCAAAGAAGCTGATGAAATTTGTTTGCGGAAATGCCGAAAGCAAAAAGACAATTCTTGAGTGCCTCAGTAGGGGAAAATAAATAAATAAATAAATAAATAAATGAATAAATAAATAAATAAATAAATAGACAAAAATAATTAATTAATTAATTAATCAATTAAAATACATTGCAAAAGGAAAAGTGAATGAGGAGAAGGGAGAAAGTCCGGCGCTCACCGCCCTGTTGCTTCTCTTTTGCGGCCCCTAAACCCTAAACCCTAGGTGGCCAAACCCTAAAAAAGGGTTTGAGCTGCGTGGGTTCCTTGCGCGCTGTAGCCAAGTTCAAAGAAGGAAAACTGAAACCCTACTACAAGTCCGCGAAACCCCCGAAAGTACAAAAAGGGCCTGTCTACGTGAGCAAGGGTTTGAGAGGGTTTAGGGTTTGAGAGGGTTTAGGGTTTAGGGTGTGAGAGAGCCTTGGGTTTGGGAGGGCCCAGGGTTTTGGGGTTTCATTGTTTTGTATGGTTTGGATTTTCGAGGGTTTAGGGTTTGGGAGGGTCCGGGGTTTCGAAGGGTTTAGGGTTTAGGAGGGTTTAGGGTTTGGGGGGGCTTAGGGTTTACTAGGTGTACGTAAGGGTTTGGGGTTTATGGGGGTTTGCAGTTTCTTCTCTGCTCCTAAAATTCTAGGGTTTAGGGTTTAGGGTTTCGATGTCCCAGTGTTTAGGAGGCCCTAAGCGTGCCCGGGTTCAGCGTTTAGGGCTTAGGGTTTAGGGTTTAGGGTTTAGGGTTTAGGGTTTGGGGCTGCAGGAGCTGGTGGCTTCGCGTTTCAAGTCGGTGGTTTTGGAATCCAACAAAGATGTTTTGCTGCTGATCTACAGCTCCTCTTGTCCCCACAGCGCCATCTTCATGCCAGTATTTGAAGAGGTCCCTAAACCCTAAACCCTAAACCCTA